TAGCTTAGAATGGGACAGGGTCACGAGAGAAGTAGAGTGTGATGAGGGAAAGCTCATTCACAGCTGAAAAGGTAAGGAATGTGGTAGAGGAAAACGTAAGGAAGGTTGGTGTTTGTACTGAATTTGAAGAATGGAAGGAAGCTAGATGAATAAAGATGAACAGAAAATTCATTCCTGAAAGGACAACAGCACACGCAAAAGCAAAGCAGCTACAAAATGCCAATAATAGTAAAACTCTCACTAGATTGCTGAACTTTTGTGGGCACGTGATGTAGATTAGCGGGGAAATGAGCCTAGAAATGTAGCTGGTAGCTAGCTACAGAGGACCTTAATAGAAATACTTGGGGGGATCCCTGGGTGGCTCAGCAGTTTAGTGCCGCCTTCTGTCCAGGGCGTGATCCTGGAATCCTGAGATCGAGTTCTGCATCAGGCTCCCTGCATGGAGCCTGCTTCTCCCTCTGCCTGTGTCTCTGCCTCTCTCTCAATCTCTCTCTCTGTGTGTGTGTGTGTGTGTGTGTGTGTCTCATGAATAAATAAATAAAATCTTTAAATAAAAATAGGAAGACTTGGGATCTTGGACTAGACTTACTTTAGCACTGAGGAGCTGACAATTTTTGACAGGGAAAGGATGCAGTTGGAGCTACGCTTTAGGAAGACCCACCCCCAAAAAATAAAATAAAATAAAAAAGGAAGACCCATCCCTCAGTGACTATATGTGATGGCTCATAAGACCATAAGACTCAGTTGGAAGCTGTCATAACAGCCCAAGGTGGAGAGAGGGCAGGTCCAGAACAAGGGCAAAAGCAATAAGATTAGAAAGAAAAAAATATTCCATCAGTAGAAGCAAAACAGTCTGGTGGCATATTGGATGTGTGGAGAGTCAGGTGTCCAGCCAGCCTGGGTGTCATGATAGAAGCCAACAGGAGACATAGGCTTTAACAATGGAGAGGACCAGTGGGAGTGACAAATGAATAGAATATCTTGGAATATTTTGCTTACCAGCAACAAAACACCAAGTTCCCACCATTCCAAATGTGAACTTGCTACAACTCTATTAGTCTAGACTGGTATGGGGGTTAAAAAAAGAGTTGACACACACAAACATTCAAATAATTTCCAACACTTGTGTGTGTTGGCTGCCTCTGCTTGAGAACAATAAATTGTTTTCCACCCTCACTCATTAAAAAGAATAAAGAAAAAAAAGAGGAAGAAATTATTATTTCAGAGCTAACAGAGAACTTAGAAAACACAGGCTAACTGCTCATTTTCTTGAAGAAGAACTCAAAGCCCAGAAAGAAAATACTTTGCTCAAAATGACACAGGTAGCTAGTGGGACATTTAGGATGAAAACTCAGGTCTCCAGTGTGGAGGTTTCTCAAAGAGTTAAAAATAGATCTGCCCTATGACCCAGCAATTGCACTGCTGGGGATTTACCTCAAAGATACAGATGCAGTGAAACGCCGGGACACCTGCACGCCGATGTCTATAGCAGCAGTGTCCACAATAGCCAAACTGTGGAAGGAGCCTCGGTGTCCATCGAAAGATGAATGGATAAAGAAGATGTGGTCTATGTATACAATGGAATATTACTCAACCATTAGAAACGACAAATACCCACCATTTGCTTCGACGTGGATGGAACTGGAGGGTATTATGTGGAGTGAAATAAGTCAATCAGAGAAGGACAAACATTATATGGTCTCATTCATTTGGGGAATATAAAAAATAGTGAAAGGGAATAAAGGGGAAAGGATAAAAAATGAGCAGGAAATATCAGAAAGGGAGACAAAACATGAGAGACTCCTAACTCTGGGAAATGAACGAGGGGTGGTAGAAAGGGAGGTGGGCAGGGGGTGGGGGTGACTGGGTGATGGGCACTGAGGGGGGCACTTGATGGGATGAGCACTGGGTGCTATTCTATATGTTGGCAAATTGAACACCAATAAAAAAATAAATTTATAAAAAAAAGAAAAGAAAACTCAGGTCTCCAAAAGGCTAGCCTACTGCTGTCTGTGGAAAGTACACTGCCTTTCTTTAGGAAGACTGGATAACATTTCATTTCAATTCCTCTTTGCTCTCCTAGGCCTCCTAACCATTCCCTTAAAAAGAAATACATGAGGTAAATAATTTTGCCCTGAAATGTTAATTGTTCTCATTCAAGACAGTTGAGGGAAATAAAAACATGGTAGTAGGTGATCTAGCTCACAGAAGAGAATAGTTTATGCTACCTGGCGTCTCCACGACAAGTCTGAAAATGATTGCTAGGTAACAGAATGCAGACCTCAAGATTCCTGGGGGAAATACCTGAGGTTATTTTGCTTTACTAGAAGACATTATGTTATATGAAATCATATCTACAGCCAAAGGGAATGTTTAATAATCATGTACATTGATGTATTCAGGGACTGGAGACTTGTGAAACAGGCAAAAACCACTATCTTGATATCAAACTGGGCAGAATTAGGTGTATGTGACTCATCTCTCTTGAATTCACCAACACGACATGAGAACAGAAATATAAAAGTAGTTACCTATTGATTATAATACCTTCAAGAGCCAATGCAGGTCCTCTGATTCCCAACGATCCACTTTCTTCTTAATAAGCAATTTATTTTGTAAAATTGCCTCTACTCCCCACTCTCCTTCATGCCTGTGCAGACCCAGCAATTTCCCAACATAGGCTGACTACTAGTAATCAGATGCTGGGTGTGTGCCAGAGGCTTTACTCATGTTCCCTCATCTAGTCCTCATCACTAACTTGATGAGGCCAGGACATTTTCAGACGAGGAAACACTGATGAGTGGAGGTAAGAAATTTGCTCAAAGTCATCAGTGGAAAGGTCAGAAATGAGACCAGATATGTCTGCTACCAAATACTATGAACTTAATCATGGTGTCCAGCCCCCAACAAACCACCAAGACCCCCATCCCAGTTCAGATGAAGACAAAATATTCATGTGAGAAGAATGTACTCGGACATGGGAATGCTGTGAGAGAAGGCAAAGGAATTGAGAGGAATTTCAGGCAGCCATGTTTGGTCTTCTTTCATTGTCATTGTCGCGGTGAATTGTGGCTGTCTAGTTTCACTTTGGGTTACAGTACTGATGTTCTTGACCTCTACAACTGATCTCAGTGAGGCAGCAGAATGTCCATTCACCAGTGTTCTAGTTTGCCCTACAATTAAATTCCAAAATTGCAATATTTGTTACATATCTCTGCTTTCATAAGAAACTAATAATTAAAATGGTGGCTGGGAGTCTTGGAAAAAAGTCTAATCAGTTGTTCAGAAAACTTAATGTTGTGCTCCCCCTCTCCTGAACCACACAGTTAATTTCAAGATTCCAGTTGCTCCAAAGGGCATGTCTATATTGCTGCACTATCTTGTTTCAGAGCTTTAAAAATCTTGATTATTAAAGATTCCTGTAAGGACCCTCTGTGGCCTCTGTTATTTTGCTATCTAAGGAGCTTGAGAGGATTCAATAGCTTTTAAATGCTACCCAAAGCAAACTAAAACCCTTTCTCTACTTTAGATCAAATGTGGCAACCACAAGGAAAAACCTAAAATCGGGCACACTGTACAGCTGCTGAGAAAGCCCAACAAGTATATAGTACTTGTCTACCAGACTAAAGGGTTGTTGTATATCAAGTTCCTCTGAAGGCAACATCTAAGGAGAAAGCATCTAAAGAGTTTTATCCACATGCAGTATGAAAGATCAAAATACTCTTACTATATGAACCAAAGATTACATTACTCACCTTCACTTGCCTGACACATAGTAAGCACTCAATAAATACTTAGTAAATGAGTATTTTTTCCTCTATTTATTTCTTTGTCAGAGCACCAAGCATAGTATCCAACACAAAAAGATATTTAATATTGTGGTAGAAGTTCATTTTGCTCCAAGCAGGCCCAAAATCAAAATATGCAGACTTTCAAGCAAAATAAACAAGCAAAAACTCTTCTTTTCAGAAAAGTATTCACCTCAGGATCCTATTAATTAGACAAATTGTCAAAAGATGAAATACAGTGTAATTTGCAAAAAAAATGAGATGCATATGCAACTTTCAGGGAATTTCATAAAGTGAGATCACTTGTAAGTCCATCTACTTACCCTCCTTGAAAAAAGAACATTGTCTAGAATGCCCACAACAATTCCAGACTTGGCATCTCTCTTCCCTCTCCCCGCACCTCACTCACACTTACTTCCCCCATTAGTCTGCCAATTCTCATGTGTGTCTTATCATCAGAGAAAGCATCAGCTCTTCCAGGGAACCTTCCCTCACTCCCTAAACCCAAAAGCACCCTGTCCACATCTCTGTCATTAAATTATTCCACTGTTTTATCATTATTTATTTACATGTCTTTCACTCAACTAAAACTCTTCTTGCTTATGGAGAAATAAGTCAATCTGCTCGATTTCTCTATTAAGATTGGAATATTGTAAGTTCTCAAACATTTATGGAGTGAATGAACATATTGCTGACATAAAAACACAGATGTTAGGGTGTGGCTGGTGATCACACAGAGGTAAATTTAGTCTGATAGTGTAAATGGAAGCAGTGGGTCTTCAATGGATTTTGAGAGGCTTGATGACTTTGATGTAGCTGATGCAGGGATACATGGAAAATTGCAGAAAAGAGGGAAGGAATGAATCAAACCTTGGTACTTGCAAAGGAATTGCAAATGATGAAGAACGAACGTTTGCCACATTGTAGGAGAGACCATGAACACGGGTACAAGTGCAGAGAGACATGAAAATGACTTAGGAGATTCAGTCCTCCTGGTCAAAGATTTTGTCTTTGATCTAAATCTAGACTATACCAGCTGCTACTAGGCATCATGGCCTTGTCATCACCAACATAGCATTTGCACAGCAAGCCTGGCATCTCTCATTCCAGCTTTTCGGTGTCATGAGAAGGACAAAGCATTTCTTATCAAAAGCATGAATAAGCTCCTTTGAAAGCAGATACAGCAGGAGACTCTCAAAGGCAGCCTCTTACCTGCTGGTTCTGGTAGGCTGTGACTGTGGTAAACACTGTCTCAGGGAAGTTGAATGTTTTCACGCCATCCCCAACAGGGACAGGTTTGGTGGGCGACAGGTCACTGCTGAAATCCTTGCGGATCACGTGAACCCGAGGCTGGTATTTGTGCATAGAGTGCAGAATGATCTGAAATGAGAAGGGGCCATGTTATGCCAGAGTTGCTCAAAAGTCCCTACATCTTTTCAAACTCTCATGCAAACACAACCACAGGAAAGAAGCACTATAGGAAGAACATGGATTAGGGGGCTGGGATGTGTAGGAAAATGGAAGTCAGTGTACTTGCCTATGGCAGGAAGGACTAAGTGACTGGATAGCACTACATGGACCCAAACAGCAGAGTATCCCAATCATTGGGGGGTGGGGTGGATGTGGTATTGCCTTAATTGGACCATACTGAATAACTGTCCCAATACCAAAGACAGCACTCTGCTAAAAAGTCTCAGAATCTCAGGGATCCCTGGGTGGCTCAGGGGTTTAGCACCTGCCTTTGGCCCAGAGTGTGATCCTGGAGTCCCAGGATCAAGTCCCACATCAGGTCTGCATGGAGCCTGCTTCTCCCTCTGCCTGTGTCTGTGTGTGTGTGTGTCTCTGTGTGTGTGTGTGTGATTAATAAATAAATAAAATCTTTTTTTAAAAAAAAGGGCTCAGAATCTCTATGTGATAGTTGCTCCCTCTTTCACATTTTCATCATGGGCTCATGCTATCTTTACATTCTCTAAACTGTTATCTACACTTTGTTACCAAATTTATTGCCACTCTCTCATATCCTGTGAGTGAATGGTGTATGTGTGTTCTTTCTTCCTTGGAAAATTGTCATTTCCTTAAAGACAAGAGCCATGGTTTTAGTTATTCCATCTTCCTGTAGCACCCATCTGGATCCTGGCATTTAGTGAAAGTTCTATGTACGCCTGGCCATGAAATATAAATTAATAACATCAAGTGCCCTAATGATACCTGGAAAGTTTTAAGATCTATTCTTCTCTTAAAAATAGATACATTTTCTTGACAAATCAGCCCAAACCGTCACTTCAATCATTTCTGAGTTTATTGTCCCATGAGTCATTCCACTGAATGTTGTGATTTCCTTCATTTTTAAACATGTCCTGTGTTTCTGCCTTCAGACTCTCCCCTGTCTAGACTGTGGGTCCCTGGAACATGAGAACTCTGATAAACACAACCCAATGCACAGCAGACATTTGCTAAATGTTGGATTTGTAATAAATGAAATTTCATGGGAGGAAAAAAAAAGAACGTATGCTTATACTTAAAATGATTCAAAGTGGCATAGAAATTCTTATTTTACCTGTTTGAAAAAGCCTAGAACTAGTCAGCTCTAGAGCCAAAAGGGAGGAAGAAGGAGATGGATGGGATTCTTTGACTCACATGTCCTTGATCATCCAACTCATTGTTGGTCAGCTTGAGTTTGTCGAAACTGACCACCTGTCTCATCCAAGTGTCTCCAGAAGCTAGAGAATCAGGGTGTATATAAACTCTTGGGGGCACAGGGGAGTCCGCGTTGCCAGCCACCATCCACTTGGAGCTGTGGTACACATATCTGAGGTGGAAAGGAAGAGAGGAGAAATCAGAGACAGAAAAAGAGAGGGAAGAGAGGCCCAAGAAGCCAGAAGAGACAGGAGGGGGAGAGACGGAGAGAAAGCAAGATGGAAAATAGTAGGGATTAAACAGAGAATACAAGACAGCAAAAGAGTAGCATAAAGAACCAGAGACAATAAGATAGAGATGAAAACAGAGAAGGAGGTGGGGTGGGGGAGGGCAGCAAAGGGTTGTGGTTAATGATCAAAGCTGCTGCCCTCACAAGGAAAACATTCTCACAGTCCTTTTTCTTTCTTCTCCATCTCCTTGCCTTGCACCCCTGTGTGCTCACAGGCATCCTGAATCCACGTGTCTAGCTATGGAAAAGGTATTTTACTGCAACCTTTCACCTTTCAAATGCAAACCATATAATCCGTTGGCCACTTGTTCAGGATTTGGTTCCTTATTAAAAACATCTTCCATATTGTCCTATAAAACACAGCCATGTGCAGAGACCCTCCAAGCCCCTCACTTGTTAACCATTTCCTTGCTGAGAATCTGAATTTTGAGGCATTTCTGTGAAAATGGAGACCCTTTGCCTCAGTGCAACCATTCCCAGAAACACCACCAGGTCCTCCCAGTTAGTGTTTAGTGTTTCTTTGATGAACCCAGTTTTGAATATCACCATCATCCACATTCTCCCACAAAGCCACTGGAAGTGATATGATGTTAGTAGCAAAGGAGGTCAGTTTTCTGGAGTTTGTCAATTGCCCTGCAATTCTAAAGAGAGTTCTCTATGGATTTGGCACCTCCTTGCTTCTCACTTACAAAGAACCACACAGGATCTGGATGCTAGCAAACAGAGGCACTCAGTCCAAATCACAAGATCCTCTAAAACTGATTGGAAGCATCTCTTGTCCTAAGTCCTGCATCCAGATCACTTCTCTCTTAGTCAGCTCTCTCCCTCTGCCATACTAGTGCTGGCATTTCCCATTCATTCATTCATTCATTCATTCATCTCTCCCCTCCTAATTCATAGAGCTAGCACCAAGTTCTCAAATATTTCAAGAATAAGACATGATTCACTGATCTGATTGAAATCTCAAGAGATTGGTTAAGCCACAACTTGTTTCAAATAAGACTGATGTATAACCCATCCAAGAGACATAGACATTGTGTTGGACACTTACTATAATGACTTTGAAGGAAAGTTATTTAACAACTCACTCACAACCCATATTGATAAGCAATAATTCTGCTTCACTAAGTGTCCTTCTTGAAATCTTACCCAATTCTCCTCTTCTTCCCTTCCATCATCCACAAGATAATCCATCAGATATATGGTTGAATATACTGCACTGGTCCACTTATCCTCTGCCTCTCCAAAATAAATCATCTCAACTCACTTAGCATTTCATAAACCAAATCATTCAATGTGTTAATCACTTTCAATGTGAACTGAATTAACTTTAGACTTAATCCATTTGATTTTTGCAACCCTGACAGACACTATACAATCCCACTCTCTACAGAGACAGGGAGGGTTCCATACCAAATGATTACTAAGTCCTGATTTCCAACCATGAGTGACTACTTCCCACATGGCGCTTTGCTACAAGCTATTGGTACTTCCTCCATCCTTCTTCCCTGTATAGTATACGATACAGTGCATTGTTAAAATACTTCATCTAAGGAGTTTAAAGAACTGTCTTGGAATGATAATGGAATTACCTTGGAATGGTAATGTCCACAATTCCACACCCCAGAGTCATCATTACCTGTATCTTTTATTGTCCACAGGCACAATGTCCATTGCTATGTAATACTGCTGGTGTGGATCCAGGCCAGTGATTTTCACTCTCATGGCAGGAAACATCCTCCTACGAAGGGGAATAGGCAGTAAGCTCAACAATCACAGAGGGAGAAGGAGCAGGAGTAAAGGCTTAGAGAGCTTCTTCTTATGAAGAATGATAAGCAAACCAAAGTCCAGTTCCTCCAATTCTCAAAGTTGCCTACTTTTTTACACTTTGGAAATTATTACTATAAAATATGCTGAGGACTCATTGTTGAAATGGCACCTCTTCTTGCTGCTTTAAGGATCTTCTCTTTATCTTTGGAATTTGCAAGTTTCACTATTAAATGTCGAGGTGTTGAGTGGCTTTTATTGATTTTGGGGGGGGGATCTCTCTATTTCCTGAATCTAAATGCCTGTTTCCCTTCCCAAGTTAGGAAAGTTCTCAGCTATGACTTGTTCAAATACATATTCTGGACCTCTGTCCCTTTCGGCGTCCTCGGGAACCCCAATTAACCTTAGATTTTTCCTTCTGAGGCTGTCATTTATTTCCCTTAACCTATCCTCATGATCTTTTAATTGTTTTTCTCTTTTTTCCTCAGTTTCCCTCCTTGCCATCAACTTGTCTTCTATGTTACTCACTCGTTCTTCTACCTCGTTAACCCTTGTCGTTAGGACCTCTAGTTTGGATTGCATCTCATTTAATTGATTTTTAATTTCTGCCTGATTGGATCTAAATTCTGCAGTCATGAAGTCTCTTGAATCCTTTATGCTTTTTTCTAGAGCCACCAATAGCTTTATAATTGTGCTTCTGAATTGGCTTTCTGACATTGAATTGTAATCCAAATTTTGTAACTCTGTGGGAGAGAGAACTGTTTCTTTCTTTTGAGGTGAGTTTTTCCTTCTGGTCATTTTGCTCAGTGCAGAGTGGAAATGGCACCTCTTCTTAACTTAAATTGACCTATTTGATGACTCACACACTTCCAAGAGCTCCTACCATGCCCTGATTTATATTATTAACCTTTAATGTGATTAGATTGATAATGTATGTGTATTTATACATACATTTCCTATCAGATTATAATATTCTTGAAAATGCTTACACTCTTATACTTAACATATTTGAGTAACATATGTTCTTATTACTCAAGTAGCTTATCACAGTTGATTGTAGGTGATGATGAAATATTTTTGATTGGTTGAGTCTATTTAAAAGTAATCTCTCAAGAAAAGAAGTAAAAAGGAAGAGACTATCAATCTCCAAAGTACCAACAAAGTTGCAGGGTTTTTTAATGCATAAAACTGTAGAAAATTTTCTGCAAGTTCTCAGGCTGTCAACATATGTGTCAGAAAAGGACCCTGTGGAATAAGGAGCGAATACCAAATGAATTCTAGTGGCCTCTGGGCAATACCTTGTTTCTACCACAATGGCTTGTTAAACTTGCCAAAGCAAGCGAGGTCAGGATACGGCACTTTACAACTACTCTCATAATTGAAGAGGAGGAGAGGGAGCAACCCAGAAGAGTATTGAGTTTCAAGGGTCTAGAATAAAATTCTCCATTTTTCTTTAACCATAAAAAAGTAGAAAAACATCAAGCTCTTTTGTATGTCATTCATTTTGGAGTCAGACATAAAAAGTGCTCAGTTCAAAAATTTGGATTGCATGAATGTGTTCTAGGGTACTTGTACACAAAATGCTGGATTAAGCTTAACCATCTGGGGCCAGTTAGTTGAGCTGGGCAGGGCACAGTGCTAATGAGGTCAAGGTCACAAGCTTGATCCACATACAGCCTAATTGGCTTTGCTCCATTTCACGGCCATAGACCATACTCTGACCCCAGACAGCCATCTTGCATATGTGCCCTAGTTGTTTACACATGGGGCTTTCTGTGCTAGTCACACACTGCATTGCTCACTGGAAGCAACTCAAAATGCAAATGTCCTGTGGTAGTAGGTTAGTGGCATAATCATATCCAGGTGGGGAGTGGGGGGGAAACACAGAACTTAATGGGAATGATGGCTAATTCTTAAATATTACCAAAGAATAATATACGACCATTCCTTCTTTCCTATTTTATAACTTCTCAGAAGCTTCTATTGGTATATAATTCTGGATATTCTACCTCTAGCCTCACAAGTTTAATTACAAAGCCTTATATTTTTGTCTTATGGTGAGATAATGAAATTCAATGGTGGATTTCTCATAATGACTAAATCTAGCATTCACTATAGGTTAGGCACTTGAATCCACATTAATTCTTTCCAAAAACTTGGGAACATTGGTCTATATATATTTACATTTAAACCAGTAATTCCTTTCTTAATAACAATGACTTATGACTGCTTGTATTTATAAATGGTTGGAGAATACCTTAACAGGGATGGAGAGAAAGTCCTCTCACTTGCTATCTGAGGTAATAAAATGTGGTTCCTCTCAGCCATCTACATAGGATGTGTTATACTGCAAGAGATGGATGTCTTTCCTTCATGATTCCAAGAAAAAGGATTAGATGTTTTTAAATTCAATACCTGTTTTGTCTGCAACACTCACATGACCTTGAGTGAGGAAGCTACCATTTCTTACCAATACCCAACTTCTAAATGAATGAGATGTGTGACTTTTGAAAAGTTACTTAACATTATCATCGATAAAAAAAAGAAGAGGGGCTATATAATCTCTAAGATGCCTTCTTGCTTTAAAATTCTATGACTACATTTGAATTCTCTTCTTAAAAATTTACCAAAAGTTGCTTTTTATTTTTGCCAGTATTTTAACACATAATATCAAATGAAGTCATAACACCCTAGGGAAAAATTAATCTTCTATATTCAAAAAATGACTATGTTTGGTTTTAATTTAATGGCTAAATTTAGGCCAATTCTGTGTCTTCCAAACCCATTAATCCCTACAACCACCTCTGTCCATGGTGCTGATTTTACAGATTATATCGGTACATGAAAAGATTGAGGGTTCTGTAGACTGCAGTAGCTCTCAACCAATAGATTACAGTTTGGGATGTGAGAAGAAGTAGAGTGTGGCTAAAATCTAAGCAAGAAAAAGGACAGAGAGTCATACAAAACTAATGAAACTAAGAAAATGAAAATTAAGATTAAAATTGGAAAGGACACCACAAAGGAAGGAAAAGGAAAAGAAAGAAACAGACGTGGCAGGAAGTGAAGACAAGTCACAGAAGAGAAAGCTTTCTTTGAATGCTTCTGAATTATCCCAGAATTACTTGAGTGGAGTTACACAGAGCAATAGCAAAGGCTGAGGCAATCCCATAAATAAGCAATGAATAATGTATCTAAACCTAAACAAAGGAATATGGCTAAAGAACAAACCATATATATTTGTATTCGAAATATCTGGGTAGATCCAGGTATCAAGTGAATCTGGGAAGACAGAGAGGTGGAAATGAAAACAGTGCAGAACAAATCTTGAAATGAGATCACAGGAGAGCTGTGAAAACCAACGCACTTGCCAAAAACAAGAATAAAAACTTTGTCCTTGAATTGCTGTTTCTTTCTAAGCCATAACATCTCAAAATGTGGAATAGAAGTAGACTGAAACCCATGCAACAAAAGGTATGGTATTGGAAATAATTCCTCTTCAGAGTTGCTCCTCCTAAGAAGCCTTTTAATGGTTATATTCACTACCAAAACTTAGAGAAGGAAGAAGGTTCCAAAGGAGAAATAAAATGAACTAGATTTCAGGGTTATTTTGACCTCATGCTTTTGTGATGTCTTATATTGGGAGCTTCCTCTACATGCATTCAAATACTCCTTTACTGTAAATGTCTATGTTCATGAAGGTAACCAATGACCTATCAGGTGGGTCCTTTTAGTCCTTATGATGGGTTAGTCCTACATAGATAGGGTTTAAAACATGAAATCACTATAACTGTTTTAACTTTAATTATTCCTACACATTCAAAAGCTTAGTCCAAATTTATTTTTACTTAAATCATTTTGGGGGCACCTGGGTATCTCAGTGGTTGAGCATCTGCCTTAGGCTCAGGTCATGATCCAGGGGTCCTGGCATCAAGTCCCACATCAGGCTCCCCACAGGGAGCCTGCTTCTCTCTTTGCCTATGTCTCTGCTTCTCTGTCTCTCATGAATAAATAAATAAAATCTCTTTTAAAAATTAAAAATAATAAATAATTTTTAGATTTTTTAATCCAAGGGCAAAAACTACAACCATTTCTTAATAGTGCAGACTTATAAATAGTTAAGACCACTGCTTTAGAGCCAGATAGATCTGTGTGGAATTCTGGAGCTGCCCTTTCCTATCAATGTGACCTTAGTCAAGTTCATTAACCTCTTTCAGCCTTTGCGTCTTCATCCATGTATGAGATTATACTATTGTATCTCATAGGATTCCTGTGATGTCTAAATGATATAATATAGGTTGAGTACCCGGTATGAAACAGATACCTAACTACAGGAAAACCGAAAGCTGTCAATGAATGAATAGCTTAATTAAAAGTGTTTATTTCAAGCAAAATTGTATTTTAAAAACTTTTATCATCCTACATAGTTTTGCAAGAGTTTCCATTGGGTCACCTTTAAAGTTTTGTAATAATTTCAAGCCAACAATAAAGCAGGGCTTAGCCATGAAACACGCCCAATTCTTACCAAAAATAAAATTCTTACAAAAACACCTGGCTGCTTTTAATGCCTTAGAAGATGCAACCTGTTATTTGGGAAGCAAATTTTTTCTCTTGAAAACATTGGATGGTGAAGTACCACTTGCTTTGAAAATCTACCTTTTGGTTCTTACGTACCACATCAACCTCTCTTATGAGCTGAAATACATTTGTAGGCAGAAGATGTTTGTGAGTGTAGAGGTGATTTAGAGGTTGTAATGGCCCTTGGAGGAAAATAGCAAAATCACCATAAACACAAGATCACTTTACCAAGATGTCTGTATGCAGAAAAGAGAGTACAAGTTGCTTTGGCTTCAGCAATGCTACCTACCACAAATAAGTGGAAAGAAAAATATAACAGCTCCTACTTCTGTTCTCCATTCTTGGAATCTGGCCATTCAAAGGACCTTGTCCTTACCTGCCTGCTTTGGTGATAATCATCTCAGTTCCAATATCATGGAACCTCTTCCAGAGGTCAGCACACTGCAGCTCCACCTGAATCTCTTCCATGGAAGACATGGCTGCAGGCACAGGGCCTGCAGCACCAGGGCCCAAGTCAGTGTGAGTGTCAAAGGAGCAGGAAGTACGCTCAGTGAGCACCTCAGAGTCTGAACCAGTGCTTTGCTCGGAATCTGCAAAATAAGCAATCAAGTTTTTAGTGAGAAACTGCTGAGCTTCCCCCTGCAACCACGGCCCTAAAAGATGGGAGGTTGGGTTGGGGGCATGATGGAGTAGGAAGGGGGTGAACAAAAGAAGGCTTAAAGCTGGGAAGCTCCAGAGCACAGCACTCAGGGTATTTTATTATTTTTTTATGGTTTGTTTTGGTGATTTATGACCATCTTTTAGGTTTTGTGTTTCCAACATGACATCTGGCATTTTAGCAACAGCTGAAGAAAACTGGTCCACAAAAGGCAATATAAAGAGTACTAATGTCACCACAGTGAAGAGAAGAAGCCAAACCAGGACAGTAAAGTAAATAAATGCCAAATTAAAAAATGATAATAATAATTACAGACCACAGCTCCAAATCTAGACAATTTCACTGGGGGTGTGAGTGTGTGTGGGGGGGATTGTTCAGTGCTAATAATAACATGTTCTTTAATGTCATACCACTCAGCATCATTGCCCATCAGTCAGTAATTTTTAAACAAAGCTATTTTTCCTCTATATATCCTGGTCATCAAAAGTAATGAAAAGTTGTTTGGGATCTTTAGAAGCACTTTGTCATATATCTGAGTAAATGGCTTTTCCTAAGAGTTCCAATCAGGCCATTTTGGATGAAAAGAAGGGGAATAAATGTCTGTTGTAAGGCAAGAATATAAGCATATGGAAAAAGTTACCCAAGAAAGCAGTTGAAACAAAGGGAATAAATGAGTTCAGGAGACACCTTGATTGGTTTCTGAAGTATGAGCAGAGGGGAGGGGTGATCCAAACAGGAAGGTAGGATTGAGAGCAACCAAATAAAAAGCTGGCATGCTGTGCCAGATGGTGCTTTCTTCCTGTGTCTTCTGTACTCATGAAGGGGTTTGGGCAGAGGGTGGGGGAAGGGGGGCATGGTGAGTGATAGAGAAAGCTGGAGTCAGATTTACCAGAAACTTTACTGTAATTTTTAAAGCTTTTTACTTTTAGAAGCTCAATGCCAAGAATTGTATCTCATAAGATTTTCCAAATTCAGATTAGCTGATACAATCTTCTTACATCAAATGACACTGCAAGCTAAGCCTGAGAATCTATTTCTCCAAACCTCCCTTAACATCTAGGATTCTGATTGCTTCTCCCATAAATAAATACATACATGAATAGAGGTGGAAACAGCAGTTCTTATGCTGACAACTGACTGTTCAGTGTTGTCGAAGGTCAGGGCCTCTTGGACATCTGTCCTTGACACTAACAGGATGAAGAAGGATGGGATGGAAAGTCAGACCATCTTTCAGCCATCTTCACCTACCTGCAGCAGGTTCCTAGGCTTGTGAAAACCCATCCCACAAGACCTTCCCTTTTCTTTCATTCTAGCCCTGACATGTTCCTCTTTAAAACCCAGGCAGCATTGCTGGCAAGTCTCCCACATGCTGCCAGCACCCACAGGGAGCAAAGTGCCACTTATCTCTTCCCAGTTCCTCACCCTTCACTTCTGAAGACATTCAGGGTACTGCAGAACTGAACCAAGCTCTAAAATGACAGGAAAGTCTTTGCCCCAAATCTAGATTATCCACAGTCACTATATATAGGTTTTACATGTTTAAGCATACAATTTTATACTTGGAGCTAAACAGGAGCTAACTTTGGTTTCCTTCAAGCACAGAAAAGTGGAGCTACTTATCTAAGATGAGAGCTGCTGCTGAGTGACAAATCTCCATCATAGCTTGATTCTATATGCCTAACCACTTCAGAGGCATTATATCATCATCAAATACTCGGCCAAACACAGTAATTCTGATCCCCTGAGACATGGATTCCCAAACCCCATTGTTCCTGTGATATGCCAAGAGCTCCTCACTTATCATGAGTGTTTTGAACTTTTCAGAAACTTCCGAAAGCAAGAGTTTCAAAAAGCAATTTTGTCCTACCTTTGGAAGTAAAGTGGTATGAAATTCCCTTACATAATGTGCTATAATTATGAAAAAGTTGGAAATTTTGGACATATGATTTCCCCAATAAGTGTTTAGGAAGAGGGAGAGAAGGAGAAAACATCACTGCACTAAGTGAGAACTTTTTAATGGTGGCCAAATTGGGGTTGGGATTTGAATGGGGACTATGGCTGGAGAACTGGGAAACCAGAGATTCTACTTTTAACTTGCCATGTCATCAGAAATAAAATGGAAGCTCAAAATGTAACATTAAATGGACTAATGAATCACCTTAGACAAGTCACTTAACTAATGGATATATTTCCTTATGGTGCATTTAGAAGGACTTAGCTGAAAACTTTTATAATCTCTTCCATCTCTAAGGACTTGAAAAGTGTCAACACATACTTTCTAATGTGACTTTCAGTGATAACCCAAGAAACCTCAATTAGAAGCATCAAATTAAAATGGCTTGGGCAAGACAAGTTAAATGAGGAAAAACATTGGGGACTTAGATTCACGTTATCATAGAAGTTAAAGAATTCAGTTGGTATTCTGTTTATAGTTTCAATCAAATCAATCGATAAGCACCTATCAGCATGTGGCCCTATATGAGGTACCATGTAGATAATTTGAAACAGAATCCCAGACCTTGAGAAGTTTCCCAGTTAGTGTTGATTAATTATGTGTTTATTGGATGCTTACTATGTGCCCAGCACTGTGCCAAATCCTAAAAAATACCAAAGTACAGAATGAGGCTCCTCCTATACACAATTACATACTGCCTTGTTTGTCTCATAGAAACCTAGCAAAAAGAAGGATCTGAGAGGACTGGAAAAGTTCTGGGGAACTCATGCTTACTAGAAAAAAAGTGGACAAGATGTAAATACATAGGGAGTATTTGCCCATGAAGAGGATTTTCGGACACAGTTGTTTGTTTCCCTGGAAATACTCTGTGGTCCTGGATTCTCACTCCCACACAAAATACAGTCCAAGTGACTTTTATATACAGAATACAGGCACCAGCCCACATTTTCAATAACATAAATTAAGCTACCCTATAATTAAATAGGGGTAAGATCAACTCCCTAGGTAAAAATAAAATGTAATTCCTTTGTAAAATACATTTCTAAATCATAGTTAGATAAAATATGTAGGCTAACTAGATCATTTATTTCAGCTATTAATCAGAATGTATAATCAAGTTAACTAAGTCATTAAATAAGAAATGCAGAGCAGGTTACTTCAATCAAATAGGGCCATCCATTCAGAAATACAACCAGTCTCTTGAATATCAGAAAACACCTCTGTGTTTTCAAGTTGTTTTTTTTTTATTCTTGGCAATTTGTGACTTCCTGCCTTCAAAAAATAACCATGAGGAACTCATTTGAATGACCTAGAAAGACATTTTGGCTGTCAGATGTCTCTTGTGGATAGCATTGTAACAAGTGAACTTTTAGAAAATCAGGAACGTAAATGATAAAGTCACACATCACTAAGGAAGTTAAAGAAAACTTTGGGAACTTGCATGGAGCCAGTTACAGGTCACTGGAGAACATCATGTGACTCATATAGTCAAACCAACATACCTATTACCATGAAAAAAAGTCCGTAAACAAGAGATTCTAACCGTTAGCTTATAGTGTCACTTGTTTTCTATCTCTGATCTATTTCATGTTGATAATAATGGACACTGTTAACACCAAGTTCCTATAGAAAGTTGAGTTTAGCTTATAGCAAGTTCAATTCTCAATTCACACAAAATAATAGCATAAGAGAAATAGATGCTTCATTTACATTTTACACATTATTTAATATATCCTTCCATTTGATAGGTAGAGATGGTATATTTTTTTATTTTTTTTAATTTTTATTTATTTATGATAGTCACAGATTGAGAGAGAGAGGCAGAGACACAGGCAGAGGGAGAAGCAGGCTCCATGCACCAGGAGCCCGATGTGGGATTCGATCCCAGGCCTCCAGGATCACGCCCTGGGCCAAAGGCAGGCGCCAAACCACTGCGCCACCCAGGGATCCCATGATGGTATATTTTTATGTCCAATATATTGATGAGGAAATTGAGACTAAGAAAATTAAAAACAACAACATGGCCTAGAAGGCAGGTTTTTTGCCTCCTAATCCAACGATCCGGTCTCTCCCAAGATCATATTAGATCCAACCCTGGTCAAAATAGCCAGCAATTCTGTAATAACCCTCAACTATTGTAACCATCCTTACAAATGAAATGGCTTAATATGTTTGATCCTGGTCAAGTCATATAAGTATTTTGGCCCTCATTTTCCTTAGTCATTTTAGCACAGCACATGCACATTTAATTAGAGGTGCTATAAAGTCCCTTTTAATCTAATTTTTACTGGATGGATTGGTAGTGCAGCTTAAAGACTTGACTATGGTAAGTTGAGTTGGTTGGCACGCACAGAAAATACCTAAATTATGTGTATTTTGACTTAATATCAAAACCAGGCATTATTAAACATATTTCACAGTCTTCCAGGTGATTTTCATCTCCACTTAACTAATAACTTTGAGCAATAATTCACTCCTACAGTAAACACAACATATTTACTCTTATGGCTCTGCTATTCTCTAAGAGTATGATGTTAGAATGTCATTTCATTTTATGGAGCCTCAGTTTCCATATCTTTACTATTTATCTTTATCTATTACTATTTTCTTATCTTTACTATTATGGGCTTGGGGAAGATATCTTCTTACTTAAAAATTATATTTAGATCCTTATGATAAAAGAGAAATTAATGATTCTGTTGATAACAATGCTAGTAACTTTGACAGTGAGATGAATATAAGCCCACAAGAACTATCCCAACCAAACAGTTAATGAGTTAATGGGCAAAATCTATTGAACACTTACTAAGTATCTGGCACTCTGCTAAGACTTTATATATATATATATATATAATATATATATACATATTTATATATATCATATCTAAAAGGGAATATATATTTATATATAATTTAATAAAATAAATCTAAGAGTTATTATTATCTCCATTTTATATATTATTGACACAAAAATTCAG